CCCAAAATACTGAGACTACAGACTACAGGTGCATGCCACCATGCCCAACTGGTTTTTTACTTTTATTTTTTTTCATAGAGACAAGACATAGATGTTGCCTAGGCTACTCTCAAACTCCTGGCCTCACGCAATCCTCTTGCCTCAGCCTCCCAGAGTGCTAAGATTACAGACATGAGCCACTGTGCTAGGCCCCAAAAGATTTTTTTTTTTTGAGTTGGAGGCTCACTCTGTTGCCCAGGCTGGAGTGCAGTGGCACGCTCACAGCCACTGTAGCCTCGACCTACTGGGCTCAGGTGATCCTTCCACCTCAGCCTTCCAAGTAACTAGAACTACAGGCTCACGCTGCCACACCCGGCTAATTTTTTGATTTATTATAGAAATGAGGTCTCACCATGTTGCCCAGGCTGGTCTTGAACCTGCGGGCTCAGACAATCCTCTCTCCTCGGCCTCCCAAAGTGCTGGGATCATAGGCTTGAGCCACCACACCCAGCCCCAAAAGATTTTTAATGAGTATCCTCAGCCAACTGAAATGCAGTGAGTCTCAAACCAAATTTAACTCCAAAAATGTCCTTTCATCCTACTTTGCTTGTTTCATTTTCGTCGGTGATACTTGCTTTCTACCAGCCAAATGAGTCCAAAACTCTTGCCATTTTCATACCTGCCCCTTCCCTCCCTCTCTCCCAATACACTATCAGGAACCAGGTTTGGGGACCAAACACTTACATTTAAACATCTGAATCTAAATCTTAACTGTTTTAAGTAAACCTCGTCCCATACACTTTGTCAGGGACTTTTAGAAAGCAAACACACAATTGCCAAAGTCCTGTTGTTTCTGGGTATTGAATCCTTTTCTGCTCCGTGTTCTGGCCTAAAAACACGATAGAACAGTTAGGTCATAGAATAGCATTCACTTATATTAAGTAGGTTGAAGTCGAGCACTCCACTGTGAGTGCAAAATACAGGCTTTCAGTCACGTTATGCTGTTTTTCCACACACACAAATTATGTCCTTCCACATCAAATACTGTACAAATTCAATGTCAAGTTGACTTGCCAACTGTGTGGGATGATCTGTAATGTTTAAGAAAAATGAATAAGTGCATTGTGTGTAACTCTCTCACCCACCCTGCCTCATGGTCCATTCTTAATGGTATATACCTCTTTCTTTTTTTATTTCAGATGTCACATTTATTCATGAAGGAAATAAAACTTTTTTGGATAACCTTGTCAATTTTGAAAAGCTGGTATGTACATTTCATTATTCTTCCTTTTGCCCCTCTGAAAAAGAAATGTATGCTTTTCTTTCCTGCTCCAGGGAGCAAATGGCTTTTGTGCTTTTCTTTGTTGAATGCCTGGTGGTTTCAGGAGCCTCTTCGCTGCACATTGTGCTTTGTCAATAAAATGTATTCCGATTAACAATAAGTGTGCTAGCAAGGTTTTTGAGAGCCAAATACAAAAATCTACTTTTTATTTTTTTAAATGGAACTTTATTAGATTAGGGTTGAGTGTATGTTATTGAACCAGAAATAGAACTGCAAGGTTTCCATCAGGAGGAATTCACACTCGTGAAGTTTTCTTGCTTTAAAGGCCTCTCTCAGTGTCTCAGCCTGCACTGTTTTCAAGGTGAGGAGGAAGAAAGTTCTCTTCCTGGGGAGGTGTATCTGTCTCTCAGTACTCCATACTTGGAAGTAAGGCTGGAATTTGCCAGGTCTATGTGTGAAGGGAAGGGCATTCCCTCCCACTCCCCCAGTTTACCAGCCTGTAGACAATTGGTGCCAGTTCTAAATCACTGTGAAATGAGCAGCTCAGACATGGCACCCTTCCTGCTCACAGGTCCCAGGTCAGCCCCTTCTCAATGTTTTTGAAGTGCTTCTTCTGAATTATCTCCAGGACATTCCTTGGTGCTTTGTCTGTGGTGAGGTGCTCCAAGCCTTTCTGTTCTGCCCTTGGACAAAGGAGTTGTTACCTATGAGAACTCCGCAACTGTAAAATAGAAGTACTCCAAAGAGACCCACTTGACTGCAAGAGGAACGGGTGTATCTGACAGATGAACTTTAGAGTCATAGATTACACTGTGCTTCATGGTTAAAGAGGGTGCCAATAACCCTGTTCCAAAGACCCTGATCTTTGAGTGACCTTTTCAGTAATGATAATGGATTTGTGTAAACTCTTTCAGGAACTGACCTTGGTTCCCTGTGAGACTGGGTCAGGCACTTGGGAGGAGGTTGAATGAGGCGGGGGCCATAGACCATGACCAAAGAACAGTGCAAACTGATGAGTCCAGATGAGGTTTGGCATCTGACCTTTGCCTCAGCAGTGCGTTGCTCTAATTATCAGGCTGACTTCCCACACAGAGGACAAGGCAGCTCAGGAGCGAACAGTGTAGCCAGCTCTTGCTCGACTCCAAATCTCAAGCATCTGGAATCTGGAAGACAGACATTGTGGAATATCTTACCATATCTCCATTTTAACCACTCTGAAGACCATCACTTCATGGCTAGTTATGTTTGGAATGGATATGGCTATACATTTTCAAGTCTTTCTCTGCACTAAGTGTTTTGGAATCAGAGCTCTGTCAGACCAACTGAGCCGGAAATGGATAGAAATATCTTATGTATACTTGTTTTGTGTTGCTGTGTGAGGGTCTGAAGATCACGGGGCCTTTTAGTAACCAAAGGCAATGAGTCTCAAACCAAACGGAACTCTGAAAAAGTACTCTTGCCATTTTCATACCTAGAAGGCACGAGAATTCTTGCCTCTAAGCAGGTTAATCTCCAGTGTTTGCTATTAGTGAAATAACTACGGGAATATGAATCTTTGAGATAGTATTTACTTCACCATCTAGCTAAGAACACCAAAGGAGCTTTGTAGAGCATCTGTGCAGATGTGGGATAAAGTGTGTCACACCAAGTGGAATTCCCTGTAAAGAAGGGCCTAGTAATTTTTTCCCTCTGACTAATCCGGAGGGACCATGGGAGAACAACTGTCCTCCTTATAAGCTGACCATTGCCTGTTGTTGCAGGCAGACTGCTTGTTGGCCTTCTCCCTAAAGTGAACAGTGAACTGGTTTAGTTCATTACATCATTTCTCCCACCAAAGTGAGAGAACAATTCCATAAAGGCTCACATGGGAAAGAGCCATGGAAAGGCCCCCATGTCCCTCTCACTTTCCTTCTGACCATCCTCTAGAGTCTTCCTGGCTTTCTTCAATGATCCAGCGAAAGCCTTTGAATGCCAGCTCTCATATGTGCCAAGACTTCCAGCTAACCATAGGGACTGGAACCAAGAAAGACTAAATGATATTATTACCTCTCTTAGGGCCAATGATCACACCCTTCATGCTTTAAGAAAGTTTAAGGAAATAGCATGGCAGAATACTATTCTACTTTCAATTCCTAAAGAGAACTTTTATTAAAAAGAGAAGGAGAAAATGAGTGCAGTTCTGCAGACACACACAGCAGACCCACAGTGCACACACACAACTGTCAGGCAGGTTCAAGCACATCATTTCTTTTTTTTTTTTTGAGTTGGAGTCTCACTCTGTCGCCCAGACTAGAGTGTAGTGGCCACTCCCGGCCACCACAGCCTCGACCTCCTGGGCTCCGGCGATCCTTCTTCCTCAGCCTTCCGAGTAGCCGGAACTACAGGCACGCGCTACCACGCCTGGCTGATTTTTTGATTTATTGTAGAGATGAGGTCTCGCTGCCTAGGCGGGTCTCGAACCCACGGGCTCAGGCAATCCACTCACCTCAGCCTCCCAAAGGCGCGGGATTACAGGCTGAGCCACCAAGCCCGGCCAAGCACATCATTTCTAAAGAGAGCGGGCTCCGTGGTGTTAGTGTGTTCCTCATCCCCAAAGCAAGTGGCACGTAAGTCACAGCACACCTCATGCTGACCCTCCTTACTTAGAGTAGACAAGGTGAAAATGGTTTAAAATTGTTTCCAGAAGGACAAATATCAGTTTTGCTAATATTTGTTATGCTTGGATGTTAGCAAATGAGACTGACCTTCCTAGTAGGGATGCTATTTTCCAGGAATGCTTCTAAGCAAAAGACAGGGTTTCACTTAAGCTAAAGCAGAATCGTCCTTCACAGTAATGAACCAATAGAACCTAAGTGAATTAACTTGTGAGAAGCCAATTCCTCATGATGGATATGAACTTAAGCCAGCTAGCTGATAATTCAGTGTATTATCTTTATCTGACTGATGCAGGCCAATGCATTAAGTCAGAACACAGGAAGATCCAGAGCGCTCTTTGGGTCTAATAGGATTTCAATTGTTCCCTGTGCTACGTTCTTTGCTGCCTCAGCAACTCTAAATGTTTTCAGCTTGGGCTATTAAATAAGAAAAAACAAATGGTTTCTCCTTTTCTCTTCTTTATCCCTCCATGTGAAGAGCAACATCTTTTGCCATATCTTCCTCGCCCCTCCTTCAGAAAGCCTGAAGGTGAGGATCAGGACTCAGGTTTCACTGCCACTCAGTCCTGAGCCTTACAACAGTCTGAGCCTTGAGTGAGCTCTGCACATGGCACATGACAGAAATCAGTGTGACGCCACAGCTTGAAACAACGAGAAAACTGTCCTGGAAATAGTGGTAAAATTTGGGAAAGGAAATGTAGCAATACTTTCACAGACATGAGTCAGGTCTCATTTCCTTTACAAATACAGCTTGAGCTACTGCTGAAATCAGTGTCCTATTTAGTTTTCCACCATTGAATAGAAGTATATTAGAAATAGGACTGTGAGAACAATTTAATCCGTTGATTGTATTCAAATGCTGTTTCTGTAGTTCTGTTGGATCTTAAGTAAGACCTTTTTTTAGCGCTAACGTTATTCTTTCAACGATAGTTCACTGAGAGTTTGCTGTCTGTGGCTGAGCCTGTCTTCAGTGTGTATAGTCAAGATGTGAAGGATGTTGACCCACTTGGAGAAGGTGGAGGACCAGATAATGAATGATGGTGATTCTTGAGTAATAGGATGATGTTTGGGTTTTAATATGAAACAAAGTAAGGGGTTACTGTAGATTATCCAGAGAATTAGAATATGATGACAATAATATTTAGAGATTATTCTGGCAACTGTATAGGAAGAACTATAGTGGAGAATGGTCTTTTTCAAAATGCTATGTTTCTATCGTCGTGGAAAACTAAAAATGGTAGAGACAGCTAGAAGACTATGATAGGTATGTAAGTATGAGGTGATGGGACCTTGTCAAAAGTAACTATACACCAGGCTCAATGACTCAGCCAGTAATCCCAGCATTTTGGGAGGCCGAGGCAAGTGGCTTGCTTGAGCCTGTGAGTTTGAGACCAGCCCGGGCAACTTGGAGAGACCTCGTCTCTGCAATAAATAAAAAATTAGCTGGGTGGTAGCATGCACCTTATAGTTCTGGCTTCTTGGAAGTCTGAGGCAGAAGGATCATCAGAGCCCAGCAGGTCGACACTGGGATGGCCGTGAGTGAGCCACTGCGCTCCAGCCTGGGCAACAGAGTGAGACTCTGACTCAAAAAAACCCCCAAAACCCCAAAACAACAACAACTGTAAATTGAAAAAGACTTTCACCTGGAGATCAGTGAGGACTTTAAAGAAAGAAATTAAATTATAATACCTAAGCCTGTAAGGGAATGTAAACAATGGACATAAAACGGTCTCTGTAAAGATACTGATGTTTTAGAAGATGTCTGTCTTTCGTATCTCATTTCCTGTTACCATATGATATACTTGAGCCTTGTAGTCCGCAGAAATTCCTGCCTCCTCTCAGCACATGTATGTGAGTCTGTGTGTCTGACATACACAAAGTGGTGCACACACAGAGACTATGGGTGGTACCTGATCTAGAGGAGGAGAAAAGTTCAACAGCAGTGACAGTGACACGAAGCCAGTAGACACTGCACAAAGAGCAGTGGGAGTATTGAGAAGGGAGCCTTCAAGTCCAAAAGGGAGATCTCAGAAAGGCATTATGGGGTGGTACCTGGTCTAGAGGAGGAGAGAAGTTCAACAACAGTGACAGTGACACGAAGCCAGTAGACACCGCACAAAGAGCAGTGGGAGTGTTGAGAAGGGAGCCTTCAAGTCCAAAAGGGAGATCTCAGAAAGGCGTTGTGGAGAGAAGGTGTCATATCCCCCAAGGCGAAGGGCATGAGCCCATGTGGACAGGAAGACTGGCGTAAGCAGGCTGCCCTGCTGCAGTGCAGTGTTTTCTCACAGCTGGGTTAGACTCTGGGCAGCCTGGCTTGGGTTATTGTTTCCGCAGACAAGGACTAAGTATTCTTTTGTAATCCAAGCTCAGAAAAATCAATTAAAGTTGTGTCTAACTCCCAATATAGTTCCTCTAGGCACACCCAAAGGTGTTAGAGCCTCCGTGTATCCTAGCAATACTGCAACTTCACAGCACCTCCATGAGCCTTCCATTGATGTGTTTCCTGTTCTACCTTCCAGCATATGATTGCAGACACTGTCCGAACCCTGAGACACTGCAGGACTAGCCAGTTTGGTGAGTAATTGAAGTCACATGCAGAATGTAAATGGACTATACGTTGGTACTGACTGTGGTTATGTCACAAGTATTTGGTGATAGTAAATAGATGGAAAAGTATATGTGTACGAGAGGGGACCCAAACAATACCAGAATTATCTTTTGGAAGGTGGACCCCTTGTAGTACACTCGAAATTTGTTCCTCCAAATCAAACAGTCAAAGTTTTTATCTGGAAGTTTTGAGAAGGTTGCCCCACAATTTGTAAAAGAAACATCCCAAGTTGTGGCAAACAGGTGATTGTTTCCTCCACATGACAGCACACCTGTCCATACCATGCTGAGTGTTCAGTAGTTTTTGATCAAAAGATGGCATGACCCCCATGCCTCACCTTCCCTATTCACTCCATCTCACGCCAAGCAATTTTTATTTTTTTCCTCGGATGAAAAAAGTCTTCAAAGGGAAAAATTTTGCGTGTGTGGAAGAGGCGAAACAAAAAAAATGGCAAAAGCACTAAAAGGCATCAAAATTGATGAGTTCAAAAACTGTTTTGAGCAGTGGAAAAAGAATCTGGGTAGATGTATCAAACAGAGAGTACTTTGAAGATGACTGAAGTTTAAACATGTAAGCATCAATATGCAATTTTTTATAAATAAATTCTGGGGTTTTGGGTTCCCCCCTCGTATATATATGCATATTGTATGTACTCATATATTATACTAGATTCTCTCTTTGCTTCCTCATTGTGTGTTTGGGATGCAGAGAAGGATAATATATAGCAGATTATTATACTTCCTAGCAGCAAGTTCATTCTGTGCAGAGTGACTTGAGACCATCAGAAGCTTCCCTTCCTGGCCCCGAAGTCTTGCTTTGCTTGCCCACTAACTCAGAATGACTGGTGAGTTTAGGAGGGGTGACCCTGTCCCTAACCTGCTTGGAGGCTTCCTTGAAAAGGACTATAGTTTGTAAAAAGTGCCTAAAGCAGCCTTCCAGAATCTTTTCTCCTCTCCAACAAAAACTTCCTGTCTGGAGCTGCCTTTCAGCTGAAAAAGTGTTTTTCTGAGCATTTTTATGGAATCCCTGCTGAGACTAATGTATATAGGAATATTTGTTCCATTTTAAATCTCAGAAATAATTTACACTATGTATAAATGGTGTTAGAACATTGCAGGAAGGAAGGAAGTCAACTTAAGTTGAGGGCGTTTTCACATGGGCAGTGGATTCCTGACACCAGTCCTAGTGAATGGGAATTATTAACCCTGTATGTACAGAACAGAACACTGAGGCTCAGGGATTCGCTTATTCAGCTATTATTCAAACCGAGTCAGGCTGACTTCCTTACCCATGCCCTTTCCTCTGCCCTCTGCAGATTCTGTAGATGTAAAGGGTAATAAAAAAATAGGAAGTCGAGTTCAGTAATTATAAGCCCATCAAAGAGGATAATATCTTTATTAATCCTCATCTTTAAAGTTTTTCAACAATACAGAAATGTATAAAGTAGAAAATCGGAGTTCCATCTCACAAATCCCACTAACAATTTAGTACACATTCTTAAGAATTTTTTTCTGGCCACTGATGACCTTGGTTGGCAATATTGTCCCCCAAAAAAGCAAGTTAGGAAATGAACTTCTGTGTGGATCACAAATTTTTGGTTTGAAAAGGGGAATTATAAAATACAGGGCCTAATTTTCTAAATATTCATATCCATTAATACCATTTTTATGAGCTTATATAATTTTCATTAAGTGCACAGTACAATATGGTTATAATAAAAGCCTGGCCACTGAGATCCACTCAAATGTACAAGCATCATGTGCTGTGAGGATGGCTTCATATTGCCTTCACCCTCCTTTGCTTCCTAAGTGCTTACAGGATATTCAGCCAATCCTAAAACATCAATCTTACTTACTAAGAGACTCTAGTTTATATATGCTACAAGTATGAACAGGAAGATTATACTGACTTGACTGACCTTGAACCTGCCTTGAATCTCCAAGTCACCAGGGAGTAATCCTCTATGTAGCACTAGGAAATTAGAAATTTAATAATTATGAAGCCAGTTTATGTTCTAATATAGACCATATTTTTAAAACTGGATTTGAGGTTAATTTATCTGAATTCATTTTAATGGTTTATGTGGGCATAGCAAACCAATGTCAGCCTCTGGGATAAAATAAAATAATGTTAATCAAGTCACTTGTAAATCATAAAGCACCACGCATACGTCAGTTGTCATGGTTGGGACTATTCATTCTTTTTAAGGCTTGCAAATTAACAACAAAATTATCTTTGTAGAATCCTCTTTTCCAAACCAATTTTTACTAAACCAAAAGCAATCTCTCAATGTCTTCCAGAGAAGGCATTCTAGAATAATACAGAGTTTTGGTCATTTCCAAACAGGTGGAGGTAAAAACGTTAACGCCTACTGCTTTACTTGCTAAAACCAGGAACACTTGTTTCTCCTAAACCTAAAAGTTACAAACCATCCATGACATATGAGTCTTTGGGGTTCTTTTGAGTCAGAGTCTCACTCTGTCACCCAGGCTGGAGTGCAGTGGCACAATCATGGCTTATCACAGCCTCTACTTACTGGCCTCAGGCAATCCTTCTGCCTCAGCCTTTTAAGTAGCTGGGACTACAGGAGTGTGCCACCACATCCAGCTAATTTTTTTATTTATTGTAGAGATGAGGTCTCACATGTTACCCAGGCTGGTCTTGAACTCCTGGACTCAGACAGTCCTCTCGCCTCGACCTCCCAAAATGCTGGGATTACAGACGTGAGCCACTATGTCCAGCCATAAGTCTTAATTTACTTCCCCATACTCATAAAATGCATTTGTCATAGTGGAGGGAAGAGGGGGTTTTCACCAAAAGAAAAAAATGCTGCAATAAAGTGCCCAGCCTTCCCGAGTTCCCTTGCTTCTGCTCAAGCTGAGTTCTGGTGGCAGATCCAACCTGTCCCATCTGAAATCCATGAATCAGGAGTATGTGATGTCATCGTCACTCATTGTCTCACTGTAGTGCAATTTAGCCAGTGTCCCCGTGCCTCAAGTGGTTTTGTTTCTGTTTGAGTCTGTGGTATGCGGGCTTGCCCATGGCATGCAGTGCTCTATCTGTGGTTCCTTATCAGCCTGTCACTATTAAGGCATGTGTGTGTCCACAGTGCCCTAAAGCCTCTATGACCCCTCGAGTCTTTGACCACCTGTATTTGTGACTGGAAAATCCCCTTGCCTTGTCCTGTGTGCAGACTTTAGCCCATGCACCTACTTTCTGAACCAACTTTGCATGGTCACCATACCTTAGCTTCTGTTCTGTGGTATCTGTTCATTCAATGTCTCCATTACATTTTTTTCTCAAAAAATGAAGACTCTAAAGAACTGTACAAATGTGTGTGTGTGTGTGTGTGTGTATGTGTTTGTGTATGTGTGTGTGTGTGTTTGTGTGTGTGTGTGTGTGTGTGTGTGTGTTTAGTTGGAGTCTCACTCCATCACCCAGGCTGGAGTGCAGTGGCATGCTCACAGCCACCACAGCCTCAACCTGCTGGCTCAGGTGATTCTTCCGCCTCAGCTTTCCAAGTAGCTGGAACAACAGGTGCACACTACCACGCCCAGCACAAAAGTTGTTTTTTTTTTTTAAAGAGTGATTGTGTTCATATGCTAAACCACATTATCAGTGATGTCTAACCATTCCAGACTGTGGTATAAGAACCACTGCAGGCCATTCAAATGGGCAGTGACTACAAAAGGCTGCGTAGCCCAGGTGTTCAGACCATGGACAGACCATGGACACAGGAGCCACATGGCCTGGGTTCAAATCCCGGCTATGCCCCTTACTTGGTATGTGACTGTGATCAGTTTCCTCATCTGTGGAGTAGGATAATAACGTAATTTCTGCTGGGCACAATGGCTCACTCCTGTCATCCCAGCATTTTGGAAGGCCGAGGCAAGAGGATTGCTTGAGCTCAGGAGTTCAAGACCAGCCTGAGCAACACAGCAAGACCTCATCTCTACAAAAAATTTAAAAATTAGCCAGGCATGGTGGCGTGCATCTGTAGTCCCACCTACTCGGGAGGCTGAGGTGAGAAGATTGCCTGAATCCAGGAGTTTGAGGCTGTGGTGAGCTATATAGTGCTACTGCACTCCAACCTGGGCAACAGAATGAGACCCTGACTCAAAAAAAATTACATAATTTCTAAATAGTTATATTGGGAGGTAATAAATGCTGCAAATATCCTGCCAGTCTGATTGCCCGATCTGAGTACTCTACTCTGAGGTAAACAAACTTTTCTACTGTTAGGACAAGGACACCTCTTATGGAATTCTGACTCATGAGAATCCAATAGTAGATTTATTCTAAGACCTGGTGTGAAGTTTTGCTGCTTTTTAGAAATAGCGTTCTTACTGTCCTGAGTCGATTGTCTATTCTTTTTCTTTCTTAAACACAGGAGGTGACCTGTCTCCAAAAGAGCACCAGGAGCTAAAGTCCTACGTGAATCACCTGTACATCATCGACAACCAGCAGGCCCTGTTTGAGCTCTCACACAGAATCGAGCCTCGGGTGTGACCCCACTGCCTCCCTCCCCTGTAACTGCAGCACTTTGAGCTACGGGAATGTCTATGCCAAGCACGTTGCTTTCCTGTGAGAAAAAGAGTTGCTGAGTTTTATCAGTGTGCCCCAAGACATTCACAGGAAAGCCAGCCAGAGCGTGTTCAGGAAGTGATGTCAGCTGCCAGAGATGGGGAGCGGCCTCTCCATGCAGCTCTTGGAACAAGAAAGCAGAAAGGGAGACAGGAGCTTTCTGGAGACAGAGAAGTCTGGTTTCTTATGATCACCTGGTTGATCCAATCCAGTTTTCAACTTGAGCTGTTCTGGCGTCAAGACAAGAAAACGTCTTGACATAGAAGACCAAGTACTTCAGTAAGAGCATGTGTGAAACAGCAGGGGTTTTGACTTTGCCTGGTGTTAGCTTACTGGTTGTAGACTGTTAAAGAAGTTGGTCTTTTGAACACCTCAAGGCAGTGACAGCATATCTAGATTTCCAGGGAAAAGGAGAGAGGTCTCTGGTGATACCAATTACGACATCACCAAAAGTCACTTGTGTCTAGGGAGTGAGGGAGGCCCCGCGGCTGACATTCATACTCTGACGTGCAGATGAGAAATGTCAAGGCGTGCATTACTTTGACCGCAATCCTTTATTGACACATGCTTACAGGTGAAATCATTTCTATATGAGATTTGCAGCTATAGGCAGGGTAGACTGAGTTGCTTTGCCAATAAGAAAAATAGTGTTCTTTAAGAAATTGACACATTGTTTAATTTCTGGGGATTTCCTTTACATTTGCAAGCAGGCTTTTATCTTTTATTGGGCACTTAGGATTTTTGAAAAAGCACAGTGCCTGGACATTGTGGGCACTCGCTACCTGCTTTTTGAGGTGACAGAGTCACAAAGATCTGCATTCTTGTGCCTGATGACGTGTTTTGCATACCTCACACAGGCTCCTTGCCCACACCATGGAATGGCAGCAGCCAGTGCAGGGAATTTAGTGACGTTTGATGTGTGCAGCAACTTAGCACTCGCTACAAAGAGCAAGGTGACACGGTAGCAGTGATTACCAGTGTTTCAGCAAATGAAAAGTGCCCTGAGATCTCCAAGTGTCTGCTTTATGTTGGAGACTTAGAAGTCCTACAGTCCACCTACCATCCAAAGCAGGGAGCCTTTCTATAATTTGCCTTTTTCTTCCCCCAAAATCTTAGTCTTTTTTTATTATTCCCATTTTTTTTTCCCAGCAGGGGCTCCTATAGCAAATAATGCCCCTTAGTATTCTCAAGGACTGGCTAGAGGATTTCCCTCAGCCTTCAAATGAACAAAAAAGCTTGTGGATTAAAATAATGAAATCCTCCCCTGCTTCTGGATACTTGTCACCTTGCTAGAATGCAAGGACCTCCTTCCTGTATTTGGTCCATTCATTTTTCAAACATGGGAGTTCAGGTGCACTGGTTACCATTCCTGCCTGTTCATCTCCTAGGTGCCCATCCAGCTTCCTTCTTTTCTCCTCAACACTTCATTCATCCTCCTAACAGATGTGTCCAGTGCTTTCTGACATCACTATGGCAGTGCTGTTTCCTGGGCTCAGGAATCACACTGAGCTTGAGATACTACTGGAAGGAACCACATGGAGGAAACATTTGGGAGGACTTTTGGAGATCCTTAGTCTGGCCCAGCATGTCAAACTTCGGTCCTAAAAACTTGCAAGGTGGTCAGGCACAGTGGCTCATGCCTATAATCCCAGCACTTTGGGAGGCCAAGATGAGAGGATTGCCTGAGTCCATGGATTCAAGACCAGCTTGGGCAACTTGGTGAGACCTCATCTCTACAATAAATCAAAAAATCAGCTGGGCGTGGTAGCGCATGCCTGTAATTCCGGCTCCTCAGAAGGCTGAGGCAGAAGGATCGCTGGAGCCCAGCAGGCGAGGCTGCAGTGGCCGGGAGCGGCCACTGCACTCTAGTCTGGGCAACCAAGTGAGACTCCAACTCAAAAAACAAAAAAAACCTTACAAGATTTTATAGAAAGACACCATCGAGGGCTGGGCCACTTAGAGAAATGCTTCATGCTGCTGGTCATGGAATGGGACCCCTGGAGGAGACCAGAATCATCAGAACCAGGGAGAAAAGACTTCCGACTTTCCTCATGGCTAACCAAACACTCCACAAGCCCTCTCTGGACAGTTGCTGAGGATAGCACTGCAGACAGCCCAGTGCCCGTTCTTATCTTTTTCCTGTGCTAGGGACTAGCGCTTGGCCTGTCTGATCATGTACGGCCATTTTGACATTGTCTCTGTTTTGTAATTGAAATTGTATTGGCATTAGCTCTACACTTCTCCTAGTAGAACATGACCTCTAGGGGACTAATTTTCAGTGGAGAACTGTTTCAACATAGTGCATGCTGCTTTGACCCTTAGTCAGACATGTACACTCGGCCAATTGAAGCCACACAAACATTGTGTTTAGATGCATGTGGTGTGGTGTATTCAGAGTACCTCACACGGCTTAGGTGAAAACGGGTTGGGGAGAAAACGTGCCTGTCTGCCTTTCCCTCCATCCATGGTCATATGGCCCTCAGGTAGCAGAGGGAAGGAAGGAGTTGGTTAAGTTTTGATTTGCTCTTCCAGCCCTGTCTTCTGAATGTCTAAAATCTCCAAATCTTTCTGAAATTTAACAACTGTCTCCAGAGGTTTCCCAGATAGCAGCTCTCTGAAATTTCAGAAGCTTTGAGGCATCTTAGCTCTGGAATTAAAGAATTTGAAGCAGTGTTCTGAGAACCAGATTTTGTTCAACAGGAAGCTTTTTCTGAGGAATGTGAGCCGTCCAACACTGAACAGGTCAATTTGGGGTTAAGTACTCCCTGCTGGGGGTGTGGGGCAGTTGTTCTCTCTCTGGAAATTCACCAAGGCCAAATAGGTTTTGTTCTGGCTAGAAGGGTGGAGTAGAATATGTCTAAGCTTATTCCAGCTTTCTTTTGGAGTTTTATGACTGCATAAAATCTCCCCGTTCACCCTGAAAACCTTGTGTCATCTGCCACCTTCAGCAGCAGGTGGTATCTGGACACTGCCAGGTGGGTTCTCTTGGTTTCAGACAGTCCTGTGGGTCACTGGATTTGTCAGCATCCAGCAAACCCGCCCTGCCTAAAAGTCAGCACGGGACAGCAGAACGTAGGTTCTTGCAGGCAACATCGCAACCTTTTCAATTAAAAAAAAAATCTTAACATACACATTTGCAGGTGTTCCATAGACTATCATGTTTTAAATTCACTATTCTGATCCCTATAATTGCCAAATGGTTGTAGTGATAAATATTATGATCTACATTCCCCTATCTCTAGTATTCTTAGTTATGTTTAGAATGAATTCATTTTCCTAGGCTGATAACCACAAGCAGGTAGTGGGGTGCATGTGCTGAATTTAGAAGCACAAGGATAAAGTCGGTGCCCACACCTCCCAGTCCCCAGGAGAAGATGTTATGAGAATGCACACTCGCCTCTGAGGGGGAGAGAAATGGTGGCTTGAAAGAGAGGGTGTCGGTGACGACTTTGGGTCCCTGGTGCTGGGCTCTCATTGCTGCCCACGCCCCAGCCCTGCAGTCCTGTCCTAGCCAGCACATCCACCACAGATCCAGAACTGATGGCATGGTCAATCCAAGCTTCTCAGAAACTAGACAGAAACATTCAGATGGGGGTAGTCCAACACAGAACTATTTTTATTTTTTTTAATGCTTCAAAGATATGTCCTTAAAATTTCAGCCTGCTTCTTAGCAAGTGGGCCAGTTTTGCCTAAAACTGGTAGGGGGGAAATGTTTTTAAAAATTGCCAAAAAGCTAGATGAAAATGTACTACTGTATAAAGCAAAACTGTATATACTAAACATTTTTTAGCAGAGTAATATTTATTTGCATAGTCTATTTATTGTATTCGTATTACACTGTTATTAAATACTAGGATGAAATCAAGGACCTGAAGCAAGGAGTCTTGCCTTTTAACGTATCATGCATTAGGACTGCTGTGATATTGTCAGCTTGCATTCACAATTAGAAGATAGAGACCCCACAATCAGGGTGTCTACCTAACTTCTCAGGGACTACACTTTGTAGTTTTCCAACATTAGAAGAGCTGGTGAATATGAAACATTTGTTGAATTACCAGAATCGCCATTAACAGTGTTTCTTTTCCCGTATTTCATGCTTTCTGCCTCTGTATATATGACTGTGCTGTGTATTTATCAAAGCTAGTAAGCAATAATTTATATGTAAAAATGGCCAAGCAATATAAGGTTAAAACTTATATAAGTAAGTAACCATTACCTTATCTTGTATTTTCAAGTGTTTTTTTTTTTTAACTGCTTTTCCAAATATAAGACTATGTTAAAGATACTATTTGTGCCTCGTGGCTTGCTTTCTCTGTGGTGTTTTGGGCTAACTCATCTGTGTTGACAGGCATCCGGTGCTCAGGTGTTTGGAAATGGAAGTTATTGGCCCAGGTAGGTGAAGAGAGGTTCTAGGCAGCCTAGAAGGCAAATCACATTCCCTGCCATTGGCCCATCGCAGAACCGAAACACCATGAAAACTGCATCCATGTTCTCACAGGCTGAGACTTGGGAATCGCCTCGCCTGGCTTGAGTGAGGCCGGGAACACCCCCTTGCCCGCCTGTGAGCAGCTCCAAGCCCGGTGCTGATACCCTGCGCCTAGAATAGAGGTCCTGGCAGCTGAAGAGCTGTGGGCAAGTGGGGCAGCAGTGGGGTGATGTGGACACTGGGGCAGGGGAAAGACAGGCTGTGTGTGCACTAGTGTAGACCATATGAATGTACAGAAGCTTCTCTGAATAAACAGGAAGTTTGTTCATCCTGGCCACTGAGGTCAGCCTAGCCTTTGGTATGTGGCTTCTCCATGCAGGAGGATTATGTATCTCACCATGCTGAACTTGGGCATGGCCACGTCTCACACTGTCCAGTGAAAGATGGGGAGATGCATGTGGCTTACATGCAGAAGCTTCATGGGGGTTGTGCCTGCCCGTCTGCTCTGCAGTGACACCTGCACTACTCCAGGGAAAGGGGGCCTCATCAGCCTGGATCCCAGCACAAAGTCAGCATAGAGCAAAACTCCAGCTTGTGAAGGATGTGTTGAGTGACAGGCAAAGCATCATCACGGGAAACCACTGAGATTTGGGAATGGTTTGTTACTAAGCAGAATTTAACCTCCACTGACTAATACAGTCTCCCATGACACTCCTTTCTTGATAAACAGCCCCTTCCCTCAGCATGTGTGGGCAGCAGTTTGGCTCTGCCCAGTACCTCATGGATGAGGCCACCTATTGTCACACATCCATGCAGTGGGCTTGTCTGTATGGGAAATGGTAAAGACCTGATCACAATTTTCTTGGGCTCATGGTCTCCAGGAAGTAACACTTGTGAAACAAGGGAAAATGGGACAAGAAGACACTGGGGCATTGCCTCTAATTAGGGCTGCAACTGGTAGCAGAGAGAGGAGGATCACTGAGCTTTACCACTCGTGTCCTGGTCTCCAAATCACTTCATCCATTGGGGCTGACCCCACAGAGTCCCCCAGTATCTGGAGCAATACTGGAGGTGAAGGGGGAATGGGAAGCCCCAGGATCCAGCTCTGGAAGGGAACAGAAAAAAGGGGGAAGCCCATTGCTATGGACACTACTATAAGTAAGGGATTGGCAGTAGTGGGATACTGCTGGGGTGGAGGGGACACAACATCAAACCAGGGCAAGTCAGGACCAAAGGGAGGCCCAAACTTTACCTGTACAATGTCTTGTATACCTAATCCTGAATTGTATCTCACATCTTTTTTTTTTTTTTGAGTTGGAGTCTCACTCTGTCACCCAGACTGGAGTGCAGTGGCCACTCCCGGCCACTGCAGCCTCGACCTCCTGGGCTCTGGCGATCCTTCCGCCTCAGCCTTCCAAGTAGCCAGAATTACAGGCATGCGCTACCACGCCTGGCTGATTTTTTTATTTATTGTAGAAATGAGGTCTCGCTGCCCAGGCGGGTCTCGAACCTGCGGGCTCAGGCAATTCACTCACCTTAGCCTCCCAAAGGCATGGGATTACAGGCTGAGCCACCGAGCCCGGCTGTATCACATCTTTAAAATAAATTAAATGTTCAAAATATGAGTGCATATCTTCTGGCATGCATCCTATATTATTATTATTATCTTATTTATTTATTTATTTATTCATTTATTTTTTGAGTTGGAGTCTCACTCTGTCGCCCAGACTGGAGTGCAGTGGCCGCTCCCGGCCACCGCAGCCTCGACCTCCTGGGCTCCGGCGATCCTTCCGCCTCAGCCTTCAGAGTAGCCGGAATTACAGGCATGCGCTACCACGCCCGGCTGATTTTTTTTTGGATTTATTATAGAGATGAGGTCTCGCTGCCCAGGCGGGTCTCGAACCCGCGGGCTCAGGCAATCCACTCACCTCAGCCTCCCAAAGGCGCGGGATTACAGGCTGAGCCACCAAGTCCGTCTCATCCTATATTATTAT